AACAAAAAGAAGCCGTATGACAGGCTGAACTGACGCGCAGTACACTTATAAGAGTTCAGTTTGGCTCATGGGAAAAGGAAAGGTGGACGTTAGTTTAAATTTTACACATATTTACAAAGATAAAGAGACGTTTGTGCATATGGTCTGATTTAAGGTACATGTATACCCTTTTACGGTTCAAAGTAAATCAATACATGTTCAGCGTCAAAATTTGGAACAAATCGATGAACTATGTCAAAGTATTTTCCTCAGAAAAATGAAATAGTTAAGAAGAGCAGCCTTAGGTGTTGCTTTCTCCAGGTGTTAGGTCTGGAGAAGACATTGACGATCATATAACCGTATATATACTTCTTCCGGCATAGAACACTCTAAGTATCCGTTTACTCGTACGTGCATCTATGTACACCTCAGTTTTTATGGCATAATGAAAGTATACTATGTATACCTCCGTATTTAGTGCAATACGTTTTGTGTTTACATTTGCATTCATTGTTATACATACGTATTTGTATACCTCTGCATTTTAGTTATAATACGTTTAGTGCACTGCAATACGTACGTATGTGTGTGTGTGTGTGTGTGTGTGTGTGTGTGTGTGTGTGTGTGTGTGTGTCTATCCGTGCAGTTAGTGCAATATCAATACATAATTATATTATATACCTCCGCACGACGTCAAAATATGCATATGTTTATTGTTGTTTGGATAAAGTGTTTTAAGGTCATATGAGCGCTCGATCATATAGGTAGGAGTTTTAAGAATTTGCCCTAGTGGCGCCGAAGTATACTCTTATCGATTTAAGGACCACAGAGGGATCTTTAACGAGCGCAACGTGCACAAGAGACCTCCGAGATTTTTCGCTCTAATACGAGAAGGCTAGGTATTAGACCTTTCCTACTATAAGAACAGGGGTATGGCTGAAAGACAGCAGTTAGAAGGAGCTTAGGAGTAACTGTAGAAAGGCTGCAGAAAATGTCAGGAACCCAGTGGAGGGTTAAAGGGGATATGTGTACCTATATATTGCGTAAATATGTATACTAAAAAGATGTGTTGTGTACATAATACAGTCATCACTTCCATAATATTGTGTTTTTCTTATTATATGTCTAGTCACTGCATTCGATAATATGGTACATATCGAGATGACATGGGGTGATGCTTTATTAGATTGAATAGGTATCAAGATTGTGCTCTATAAAATATTGAAATGTGCGAGGACATGCTTTATAAGATATAATAAGCATCGAGTTGATGCTTTATACATTATTATGGAAAAGATCTAGAAGGTACTTTATAAGATATAGCAGAGAGGTGATGCTTTATAAGATGTTATGATAACAAGCAGTGAGATACTTTATAAAGCTTTAATAATTATAATACATATAATATATATATATATATATATATATATATATATATATATATATATATATATATATATACATATAATATTATTATTATATATATATATATACTCTTCAAAAAAAAAAAAAAAGAAGAAGAAATCTGACACTCACTTTTACAACTGAGATTTTTTATAAAGCGAACATGATTAAAAATAGAAAATAGAGCAATGTTCTGACAGTTTATAACTGTCCACATGTTCAAAACTTTAGTTCTGGTTAACAAACCGAATGTCCTGCACAAGCTTGTAAACAGAATGGGGTGCAAGGAAAGTCAGTTACTGGTATGAGCACCATTTGCCTTGATCACTTTTCGGCATAGAGAACCCATGGATGCAATCAGGTTTGCAATCACATGTTGCAGGATGGTCTGCCACTCATGCTAGAGTGCCACAAGGAGCTCTGGAAGTGTCTGAGGTGGTGGATTCCTCTGCCACACTCGTCGATTAAACTTGTTCCAAAGGTGTTGGTATGGAGACCAATCCGGTGAACGGACAGGCCATGGTAGAGTCGGAAAGTTGTTGACACACAGGAAGTCCTCACATACCCGAGCAACGTGTGGACGAGCGTTGCCCTGCTGAAAATGACACCACTGGCGTTCACCATTGACGTTCAGGTATGAAACTACATGAGGCTGCAGGATTTCATCCTGTACCTATCACCCGTCCGAATGTCCGATTTTTAAAAATGAGTTCTGGCTCTTAAATAAAATCACTCATCGTTATTGACACGGCCCTTTAGTGGTTGGTTATTAATGTGTGCTGCATGTAAGCTATTTCGTGTTTATATTGTCTGTATAGTGATATTGTGTACTGTGTGCTGTGTATGCAACCTATTTTCAAACTATTGCAAAAGTTGTACATGCCACTGTATCCGAATTTCTTCTTTTTCTCCTTTTTTTCTCCATTTGCTGGATGCTACTTCTCAGATCTTTTCTGGAATAAAACACCCTGCTGTCGCTTGCTATTCTGTCTGCATGGCAGTTCTGGTTCCAACTGAGGTGTTCCATCTTCCATGTTTCCTCGATGGGGATAACATAACGGGTATTTTTCACTTTCTTTGCTTTAAAGTACCTTGATTGCTTTGATGCAACCACCTATTACGAGCTGAAGGCAGGGCCTAAGGAATACACTCTGTAGGCATTTTCCACATTGTGTGACAGTGATACTGTAGTTAGTACAAATCCAGGGGAATTGGTGCAATGCACATCCCACAGAATGAAGCAATGCAAACGTGTGTGAATGTATTATAAACCTACAAAGGAAGTGTCTGGAACAAGATTTATGACTACCTGGCTATTTCAGTTAAGTATGTGAAGTTCAAAACATTTCAAATATTGCCCTAGGAGGCATCTTGGTCGCCGTCTATGCGTTCAGCTTGTTCTTAAAGAGGAACAAATTACCCACTGCGATAAGCAATGAAAATACTAGTAATGCTTCTCTTCACAGTTACAATTTTAAAAACGAATTCTAATCACTACTCTAATCTTTTTAAAGCCATACTCTTTGCGAGCTCAAAGTATGAGCAATTATCTACAAGACTCGCAGTATAACTCAACTTAAGATTACAATAAGTCTTCATTGGATTTTTTTTGTCATCATCATCATCATCAACATCATCATCATCATCATCATCATCATCATCATCATCATCATCATCATCATCATCTTTTTTAAAACAATAATTCTCGTTTCCTGATTTTTTTTAATCTTGAAGAATAACAAACACTACCATGTTGACATATTTTCTACCCAGCTCACAAATAATATACACCACCAAATTGGGACACACGCTAGTCTTCTCTGGTTGTCGCCAAGTTTTGAAATCTAACGACAGATCCATAAACCACCGATAACAGACGCACTAAAACGCGACGCCATCAACAAAACAGAATCTGAAGATCGATTTGGTTTCAGTATTTTCATTATGTAATACTGTATTAACGTATTATGTAAACTAATTATGTATTGAAATATTAATAGTAACAGATGGCATTATTAAGTGGACATCCCGACCGAAAAATAAGCTCTAAGCGCATTCCATTTTACTGTTTCCCCAGGATTTGTTTTAGAGCATCGGAGCAGAGTGGCCTACGAGGGTCCGCAATGTCTGTCTCAGATGTGGCACCTGGACCTGGACCTGGACCTGTTCCTGCAGAAGAAGAAGAAGACCACCCTGACTGACGCGTCAAGTTCCCGAACGTTCGCAGCTTCCTCAGAAGCATCTAGTGCTTGCTGTCATTTTGCAGATACTCAGAGACTAATATAAAACCTTTCACTGTTTTAGCCGAGTGAAAAAACAACAACAACCAATTACAACAACAACAAAAACAACAGGTATATTATGCTCCCGCCCCCGAAAAAATCGACACAATTTAGATTATTTAGGAGGGGGTTTTGGACCCTGCCCGTCAAGGGAAACCTAGACTGAGAGGGATCCAACGTCATGGCAGAAAGACCGAGACATTGGATAAAAATTCGTCCTACATGAGAATCGAACTCAATTTTCCTGCGTCCCTACGTCAAAGTGCCTAAATGCTACATAACAGACGCCGGCTTTACTCGATCTGATCCGGATAAGGATAATTCGTAGAAAGACCACAGTATCACGCTGCCCTAGTATTCTAACCCATTATCTTATGGTTGCAAGTCAGACAGCCTATTAGACCACGGACGTCACTGTATTCCTTACACTTACAGGTGAAACAAAGCGGTTCTTTTTTCAAGCAAAGACGCAAAGAGGGCACGTTGCTGATGTTGAAACTAAATGCCTCTACTGATACGTTGTAGGCATTTGTAGTCCCGCTAAAGAACATCGGGTGAAAGAAAATGTTTTAAGAAAGACGACTAGTATAGCTTGCAGTTTGCCCCCCCCCCCCCCATTTCCGGTCGCCTTTGTTTTATTCACTACCAAGAGAAACATCGAGCTTGCGTTTATAACTATTTTTACATAGCCAAACACCATGGTGCCAAGGCCTGTGTAATAATAATTATAGATAGATAAATAAATAGATTAGAAGGGAGACAGAAAGAGAGAGAGAGAGAGAGAGAGAGAGAGAGAGAGAGAGAGAGAGAGAGAGAGAGAGAGAGAAGGGGGGGGGGAGGGAGATAGTGACTGAAGAAAAATGGGGCGGGGAAGGTCTTTGCACGACACATGGGAAAGACAATAATAATTATGTCGTACAGAGTTACAGCCATTGGAGGCTGTTACTTTACACTTTCAGTGTAGGCTACTATAAAGAGGAAGGCTTTTAAAAACATTAAAGTATCAACTACTTCACTGCATGGCTCGAGTCCGTTTAGGGATCTCTGGTTGGACTGGAGTACGAACGAGTTCCTGTGTTGTACACATCTCGATGTTTTTCACACCCCATTTCCCAAACCTACTAATGTTACCAAACTTTAAAAATCCCACAGAAAAGTACCCGGAAATGACTGTTAATGCCCATCAGCTTAGATTTATAAAACACAGAAATGTGCTTCATCTCTCAAACTTGCGACCTCCTCCATCACTCAACTCTCGGGCCCGACAGTGAAGGAGTTTACTCAAAGGACTAAACGCAACACAACGTAATTTCAATTAACTCGAAACAATGTCACTTAAGTGAAGATGGGCATGCTTTACTGAAGGAACTGTGCATTGTAAATGACAAAAATGAAGTCGATAATATTTAAAATCAGCGGTGACTTGGATTGGAACACAAAGGGAAAGAACTCTCTCTACTTCTTGGCCTCCAGCCACACGTCATTTGCGCCACCCTGACAGCTCCAAGGCTCAAACCCGTTGATTCCACTGAGTGGCGTAGGCTTCTTCATCCATTCCACCACCTGTGGGCAAAGAAAAAAATAGTCATATTCCAGAATTGTTTTCAAAAGCGATAGCTTATTAGCGTGTTCTCCAATGACGTAGTAGTATACTTTTTTAGGTACGTTTTAATTGATTTGATTCTGGTTAACTATAACAGTCTCTTTGGACATGTGGGAAGGTTTCCAAGCTCTAACAGTACCTGGCGTTATGCACAATGTAACTTAAAGAGGAACAGGAAATAAAAGGAACCTGTGTGTATAGTGTATATGTGTGTGTGTTTGTTTGTGTGTGTGTGTGTGTGTGTGTGTGTGATGAAGACTGAAGAGAAAGAGAGAGAGAGAGAGAGAGATAGAAGGAGAGAAAGAGATAGAGAGAGAGAGAGAGCGAGTGTGTGTGTGTGTGTGTGTGTGTGTGTGTGTGTGAGAGA